CTACCTAGTCCTTATAGATCCATTCAGTTGAACAGCATATACATATGGCTGTTGACTGGTATGCAGTCGAGAAGTGCACTTTCTGCTCTACAACTCAATGCTATGCCAACACCAGTGAGTCCACAAGAGCTGGCAATTGGGTCATCGGATAATCTCGAGGTGAATTTCGAAGATTCCACACCTTGGACAGGTGAACTAAATTTAATAACCACAGTCGGATCCTGTACACCAGTCTCAGATTCACAGCGTACACCCTTGACTAGAGATTCCAGAGTTCTTGGTAGTGATGCTTGCTGTTGGATTTTGCATAGAGTTTGGTGGTTGAAAGCTGCAACATGAAATCGATGGTGGGTGTGAGGGTCTTAGGAGACTAGGAATGAGGTTTCGATAATTTTGATCGTTGACAATGATTGCAGATTGAGGGGTTGGGATAGGTGTAAGAGTTCTAATATTGTTATTAGGAGGTGAATGTAAGGTCGTAGACAAAGTTGAGTGGAATAGGCTATCTTTGATTCCGTCTAGTGTACTACTGAAAACATGTGGGGGGACTGACACTTTTTGGCTCCCCGTAGAAGGCTATTTCCTCTTAAGACACCTGCAAGAGAAAAAGTTTTGTGACCACAGGGTACATGCATCATCTGCTCGAGGCCTAACATAGTCTTTCTAGGATTTTTGGTGAGATTTAATTTTTTTAACGCTGCATAGAGAAAACCCATACTACCGGGAGGCCGTGAAAGGGGGAGGAGCGTCCTTCTTTTAGGTTAAAATTTTCTAAGCACCCCATTACAATAGGGAAGACAGGATCATCATGGTACAGTTGGTCATCCAAGGGGAAGCAGCCTACATTTGTCAAATGCCAGTCAGTCTGCAGTACGACTTCGCACTCGGACACCCATCATAGGGTAGCAATTTGCACTATTACGGTAACTGCTTTATGTCTAACCCCAATCCAACAGACTTTTCGGATATAGTGGGACCTCGAGGGAACAAGCGTTCCAGTAGCATAGTTTGCTGTGGTATTCAGGCTGGATCACCACACCAAGGTAGCAGCTATCGGTCGGCAGCGAGTCAAGATGGTCACTTTTGATGTGACGAGCCAATTTATGTCGTACCACTGATCATGAACTCAGCAACGGAACTGAAGTTCTCATTGAAAAAAGTGGTATGATGGTGTCTAACTTCCATGGTCTTCAAATTTCACGACAAAGTATTTCAGCTAACAGGAGTAGCGATGGGATCTTTAATATTCCCTACCATAGCAGACATTTGGGAGAAAATGGGATTAGAAAGGTCCCCACCGACCTCAAAATTATGGTGGCGATACGTAGATGACACACTGTTGAGGTCAGAATAAATCCAGTTTATCATATCATCATCAAGAACAATATAAAACCTGGTATCACTGAGTAACGGTCCAAGTTGCCACATTTCATATCAGCACATCAAGTAACAAGGCAATAAAATGGAAGATAAGGAAGGATAATCAGTCAAAGGAAGCAGCAGTAAAAGAGAGGAAGGAAGAATGAGATTAAGTAAAGCGGTTCTAATGAGGATAATGTGTATGCATCTGCACCACTGACATCGTTTCTCAGCCATATCACCTAACATCTCCAACCACTGGTTTCCCTTGTTCCCCGGACCCCATCCGGCTAGTCTGCAGCCCCCTTCATGGCTCAAATGAACATTCAAGCATTGATGTCATGTTTCGAGCTAGTCATCCTTGGCTTTTTTCCAGCCTGAATCTACTTCGATCAACATTGTACGACGAGACAGATGATGAGTAGGCATACGTAACACGTCCTAGCCATCTCGGTCGATGAATGTTCACAACAGCATCAACTGTTCTGCCTGACTCGCGCGTCAACACCATGAAAGACGGCCAATGTTACGAAGGCAGCGATGGTCAAGTACCTGAAGCCTTCTCGTATCTTCTACTTTTAATGGTCATGTTCCACAGTCATAAAGGAGAGAAGAGCTGACTGCATCGTTATGACTGAATCGTAGACCCATCCTGCTAATTATCGTCGCTCTTTTCCATCTCTTTAGCCTTCGCTGACCACCGCTGTTCGCGGTTATTTTGTCAGTCTAAATTTGAGTTGTGTCCACTCCTCATTGTACCCACAGGCTACAGAGATGCACTCACGTGCATCCATTAATGTAGAAGCTGCTGATATCCACTGGCTCTTTTAACCACTCTTCGAGATCCGGTTAGGGTATTCAACGCTGTTTTTAAAGCAGACTGGAGATGGAACCAAGCCTCTTCTGGATAAGTGATAGTGTTCTGTTCTGATAACTGCCTAGCCAGTTTCTCCCTGAAAGCGGCCCTAGTGCTCTCATTGTTGATCACTATTTATTCACGTGCTCTAGAGGGAGAAGCAGTCTACCACCGATCCTCCCCAGCGATGGCCGATGGTAATGTGGTCTGTGTGTCCATCGCTAAGTTGAGCTCCGTGGACGCCACACTAAGTAGAAATAAGCGGTTATCTGAGCACAATTGTAGTGGACGATCACCGTTATTTGTTCGTTCAGCCGGGATTCCGAAAGTGCCACCTAAGTTTCCTTCTACTTGACTCAGCCTACCCATTTGTACATTGGAATTACCTACAACAACGACCACGTCTTAACGTTTTGCTTTCAGAAGGAGGCTAGACAGTTCTCAGTAGAACTCATCATCTTTCACTTCATTCGAACTGCAGTCAGTGAGTGCGTAGGCAGAGATTACAAAGAGACAACGGCGAGTTTCATTATTCCTTTTAGTTCTCACTGTGTCGTTCAGCCAGACAGCACATAGGTGACTGTCAACTGGGATTCAGTCTGGTAGTGAGCTTTCTGCCTTAGTGCTCAACGCTATGCTTGCATCTGCACACATATAAACATTACTTTAGCTGGTAGATGCAATCCAATTCACTTATGAATTATAAATTCAAAAAGGAGAACTGTGTATGTTGGATTGCTAACTAAGAGATGGCAATCCAGATACCAGTGTTTCTAAGCAGCCATAACATTTAAACAAATAATTGGATTTTACATCGTCTCACCCTATATCTGTAAACGCAAGCATGGTAAACTGTTTGAGTAATCGAGCTAGGAGTTTGACTAGTAAGTCATAAAATCTAAACAGGGAACTAAAACACTGACGAAATACTACTACCTAATAACCTACCATCCAAATTTCTTAAAATATTTATAGACTTATCAGAGAAAGAGCGATAATATTAGTGATAATTGCAACATACCTAACAGGGAATTCAAAGCCTATGTAGTGTTGACAATTAAAAACACCAAAATTTGACTGGGACTGGAGTGGCATATAAACACATAAATTCAGAAAAACTGCAGGTTAAAAGATGATGTACAGCTAATTTGGCAAAATGACTTATCAACAAGATACTATTCAATGCTTGTGAGGTCAAGTATGTAGGCTACAGAGACGATCAGTGTCAGTAAGAATAGCCAAGCACAAAGATCTAGCGAAACGTAGAATGAAAGATACGTAATTCAGAGAGAGACCGGATTATCGCTCTGTATGGAGTGACGCATAATCCCACAGTATGATGGGAAAGGGTGACAGTTCTAAAACCCAATATAGCTAAGTGGAGGGAAAAATTGATCACAGAATCTTTGCTCATTGAATCAACACCAAATGTATGTAACAGGAATCACTCATCAAATAATGCAGATATCTGGAAACTTTTGCTACCATTAAAGCAAAAGAAAGGACTGTAGAACTATGTAAATGAAGCTGGACAGTCGCATGATTACTTTGATATATGAGTGATAAATTCTGCTCGAAACTTCCTCCATTAAATAATACTGCATCACTATGTGCCATACCATATGGAATTATGCACAAAGATGGTACATTGACTATTAGGCGTCGGATAAATACGAACACTGGGATCTTGGACACAATACCAGTTAAAGTGATCCTCCCATGGTTGTCATAAGAAGACTTATTTCCTTTCTTGTGGACTAGAATGATCAGTGTCGCATATCAGTATGATGGCACTACCTCTTTCTCCTGTTATTCTACTCAATTTTCTACCTCCATTTTTATCAGGTTCAGCTGCTTCACATCGTTTTACGTTCGACATAGCCTTCTCAATTTCGACAAGAGTCGGTGGACCGACGTCTACGTCCCATTCGGGTTGCGACTGACTGGTGACTGGGAAACTGAAGCGTTGCTGTGGGTCAGTGAGACTGTGCTTCAGTGTTCCGCCCAACGTTCTAGCCGTCTGTCCGGGAAGGTTAGCAGTGTAGCGTCCTTTTCAGTGACGGTTTCACTAACCATCGTCTTCTTGTTGGTATCCTTAATTGGCCTAAACAGTTACCGGGTGTTGCCTAACGCTGATGCCTTCTTCACCTCTCTCACTTTCGCAACCCACCACTGCTGCCAATGGGAAACTTTTGAAACAGATCTTAAATTGACTTTCCCTGAACTTCCGGTTAAATCCTTTCCATTTTTTGACTGTCACAAGGCTTCTAAATGTGAATCAAATTTACGTATTCTCTTGTGAGTTATTAAATGCAGTCACGCTACTATTGAACTGCTTGGATTAAAGCATAGTAAATTTATCAAGATATGCAGCAAATGTTGAGCCCAGTGCACATTATATTTGATCAGTAAACAATTTTGCATAGTGCATAACAGAAAGCGAAAAATCAAATTTAAAATGTTTTGACATATTAGTTGATGACGTAAATGATCGGTAGGAAAGAGTACGTTTATAGTTATACAAAATATCTAAGTAAATCAGTTTGATACAAACAGAATTATAAACACCGATGGACAAGACTACATCTGCAGTAGACGATAATGCTACATAGAAGAAACATGATTACCGATAGAAGAAAACTACTAGAAAGGGATTAAGAAAGAAGATGAAAAAACAAATGAGGAAAGGTAACTCCTAATAGTCCTAAGTTTTTAAATTTCCTTCAACAACTAATTCATTCATAAATTGCCAAAATCAAATAGGAATCAGGAAAAAATCTGAGCGTCATTTACAGGCTTCAGACAAATCAAGATCCAATAGATACGGAGTCAAATATGTTATAATAATGGATGCACCTATAAATTATGAAAAACATTTGTTAGTACGTGTACAAACGTGTATACTAAATATTGATGAAGAAAACAGTAAAGCGTTCTGCTAACGAATGTACGCCAGCTAGACAAACAAACGTAATCTGATACAAAATCGTGTGCCAGTCTATGAAGTACACTTGGTACCTAAACGTTCAAATTCGAAATGAAGTTAATTCCAGCTCATAATACATAGATGCTGACTATGAACTACGAACAACGCTTAGATAATATTTGGTGAAATACCCTTAACTGAACACTAAGACTAGCTAACCATCTAAACATTAGTAGCAATCCAGTGTCTACAAAGGTGGGAAGAATTCACGCCATTAGTTTTTCATAGCTCTTGTATCACTGGTTAGAATAATCATTCTACTATAAATATATCTGTGATGAATGTTTACATAGAATGATGTTATTTAGTTTTGGTAATATTTCGACCAAAACTATTGTTCGTGATCACACCAATTGTTGGGATTATTTGTCCACATATTTACGGATAGAATTTATATATATATATATATATATATATATATATATATATATATATATATATATATATATATATATGGACAAATAGTCCCAACAATTGGTGTGGTCACGGGCAATAGTTCTGGTCGAAATATTACCGAAACATCAGCGTATAATCATTCATTACAAATATATTAATAATAAATTGACTCTCTCCCCAATGCATATAACTAGTAATGATAGTGTCCAAGCAGCAGGGAATAATTATAACGAAGCAACAGCAACTGGTATCCCGAATTATTGCATTTAGATAACTATATGATTTTAGCTCAGAACTGTATTACAGTGGTAACAAACAGTATGATGTTCGCCGAAATGTTTCTTCAATACTTTCAACTAACCACAGCATTAGAGTTTAACAGCATCAACAACCGAAAGACAAAATTGTGCAGTGAATTTTCGTAGCATAAACCATTACTTGAACAAAGGATTAACTGAATATAATGCTGAATTGCTATCGAACTTATAAGGTGTTCTAACAATTATTTCATAGAGCATACATATATACATACACGTAAACTACTGCCAAATGGGTCTTTTTGAAGTGACTTTGGATTTGGTGAACAAGTATTTGATGTAATTAGGTAGGCATCAATTTTATAATCAGAGCTCTCTAATGCATAAATATAATCTTTCACTATTGCGTATCAGTTTAGTCCTCTAGACAATCTGGAATACCTATACATTAAATTAGATCTGCTTAAAACATTTCAATAACTATAGATTAGAAAGTGTAATAACCATATTTTTAAGCACATGAACTGGACGGGATCAGTAGGAATAAAGCAATTTCTTATCAGAACTACAGTTGAATATACCAGCAGTGCAGCTTTAGTTTGACTAGTATTATACATACTTATGTTATGCACACAAAAGAGATGGCATTTATTCACAAAGAATAAATGAAAACAGCAGTTTACCTGCACGACGAAATGCTGTCATTATTTCGAGGGCAGCTTGCTTTAAATCAATAGCTCCAGCATTTGCTGCATGTCTAAGCATTGCGTATTCACCAGAAACATGATACACTGCAAGCGGATGATGAGGTAGCTGAAAAGGTTAAAGGAAAATTAGCATAAAAATTAGTGTAGTAAGTCAGTGATAATTGAAAAACAGTGAAAAATTTTTAAGGCTTCAACTGATTTACAAACCGTCGCGTATATCTCTTACTGTTTTTTCTGAACTGTGTAAAGCGATAAAGAATGGTCAATAATTCACCAACAAACTGTTTTTCAACGTTGTGAAGTGAAAAACATACTATATTACAAAAGAGACATGAGCGCAAAACCTCAGGAACAGCATAAGTGTCCCACAGTTTAAGTTTCCAAATTTTACATTACCAAGCAAACGTAGAGGTTAACAAGATGGCAAAGAAATGAAGATAATCATAAAAGAAATCATAGAAATCCATACCACCATCAACACACAACCAGCCATTACTCCGAAACAGACCAAATTACCACACCTCCTGTCACCACATCAAGCAACAAAGCAATAAAATGAATGATAAATAAATAATCAGTCAAAAGCAGTGAAAGAGAGGAAGGATGAAGAAGAAAATACTGAATTCAGGATTATCATTAGGATGAGGATAACATGTGAATAGATCTGCCCCAACGACATCGATTCTAAGCCATGTCATTCAGAGTATCCAACCATTGGTTTCTGTTGTCATGTGGACCCCAACCGGCTAGTCTACATTTCTCTACACGACTCAGACCAACAGTCAAAGACCTCATGTAATGATGCCATGTTTTAGTCTGGGTACCTCTAAACGTTTACCAGCCAGAGCCTACTTCATAAAAAATTGAGGAGTAAGTCAGATAGAGACTAGGAAGGAGTATCATTTGTCCCAGCCACTTGAGATGGTTGAGGTTTACAACCTCATCAACCGACTTTCCTCTCCTCCAGAATACCGTGCACCTGACTTCTATCCTACTGAGGTGGTGACACCACAACATATGGCCAATGCGGCGAAGACAACGGTGGTTAAATGACTTAAAGCCTTCTCATATCCTCTGTCTTCAATGGCGGACCTAGTTCGCTGGCCAAATCAACACAGAATATAGGCGCATCGCCTGAGGTTGCAGAACTCAACAGTAGTACAAAAAAGAAGTTTGAAAATTTTGAATGACCTTAACTTTTAAATTCCCTCTCGTCCCATAAACCTTTGTCCACTTTTATATCAGTCTTTCCGCGAAAAAGGATGACTGTTTGATTCACTGGGAGGGGAGAAGACTAGTATGATGGCAGGAGCACTTCATAGAGCAATTCAATTAGCCTTTAGCCAGTATCCTGTTGTCCGCTATCCGGTTGGGTGGAGACGTAGCTCATTTATTTCGGCACTCGACTTTCAGTCAGTTGGTCACGTGTTCGAAAGTTGTTTCACCTACGAAGGTCTGAATAGCCAGGAAGTATCACTGACCCTCATATATGTTTGGCTCATCGCCTACTGCACGATTGTGCACAAGAGTGCTAAGTGAGTTCTGAATCGATGCAGTCGGATCCTGAATAGATCATACAGATAGAACTCTCAACACTTACAGATTTCATGAAAGCTGTAAGCAGTCGCAAACGAGAAAGTGTAACAGGGCCAGACGGACAAATTGTGATCCCGTCTGACGAGTATCAATTATTGATTATCTCAGCCCTTCAAAAAGTGGTAGGTCCTCTTGTGATAACCACAGACGAATTAGTCTGAGATTCTAGGTTCTATGATTATTAGACGTCTGAGTGGAGCTCAAGAAAAATAAACCCGAAGGAACCAAGCAGGCTTCAGACCTACCCATGGGTATATGGACCAGATGCTTACCCTTAGACAGATTCTGGAATACAGGCACACTTACTGATTCCTGACGCTAGGTGTATTACTTGACTCGTACTCGAACACCCATGGGCATGTTAGATACTATGGTGAGCTGTCAGGTAACTTGTGTACGTTGAGTGAGCTCCGTCAAGTATGTCCAACTTTATTCTTAATCAATTTTATCATAGACATACTCATGCATGTCTCCATCTCGTCGTCTGACTTATTAGGGACTGACCTTATCAAAGCAGAATCCATGGTTGATCTAGTACACGCAGATGACACACTCTTCCCAGATGAAGACACTCACAAGATGCAAAGTCTTCTTGATGTCTTGAATGCCAGATTAAGGATGTTCCCGATGCATTTTTTTGCCAGCCAAATGCAAATTGTTGCTCCGGGACTGGTATTCAGCAATGCCCCAGCTAAATAGAAAGTGAAGTGGATCAGCGTATTTATCACTTCAATTACCTAAGAAGATATTTCATAGTAGTTCGAGTATTCGGCATTGGAATATATCCATGTTAAAAAGTTGGTTCCGTGACTTTTAGATGTTGTATAAGATCCTCAATCGTCCTACTTTTTGTGAGGAACAGTGCAAAGTAGAGCAAGTTTAATATAGTTAACCTATTTCTGTAACTACGCCCTCTACTTATAGTGCTCAATCCACTTACTGATATTCTGAATATGCTTGCCGTTGGGTTGATATGCTTGATCAAGGATGTTAACACACCGTTCAAATAGAATAGCTCTAGGGATCAGTTTTTAAGCAAGACAGAATACTTAGATGTAAAAACCACTTATGTGATTCTTAGATTTATGGATGACAAGTGTTGATGTACAGAAAGGTTTTGTATCAACAAATTCTAGGTAAATCACCGTAGAACCTGGCACCAAGTTGTATCTGTTCCAATCCTGCAGTGATATGTTTATCCTACACTAACCGTATGTAGTGAAGTACATTGATTCCTCACTGAAGAGTAACCAGTTTCACGTTATCTGGTCCCGAGTGCTGACCGAATTCCGTTGATCGTTTTCTGATATGACCACCAAGCTAAAACACTCAGTATCGTGGTGCAGTTTGGCTGGTGTTAGATGGTTGAAGGCAATCGGCAAAAAGCCGTGGACCCAGGTTTCGTTGCCGAGAAGTGATAACCACTCTCCATAAGCCTTTACACGTGTGCGTGAGTTAGAGTAGAGGGCTCTAAACAGCGTTCAATAAATTTTCGGCATTTCCTCCTCAGCTAAACACAGCCACAACACCTCATAGTGTATAGAGTCAAGTTTCACCTTCAAGTCAAGATATATGGCGTGTCGGCCACCGGAAAGTATACCTATGTTGGACGACATGTCGGAGAGGGAAAATATGGTCAATGCACCCTCGTTCATATCTGAAAACTCCCTGCTTTCTCCAGTTTGCTGTTATCGAGCTGCAGTCAGGCGTCGGATAACTATGGACCATAGAATCTTGGACATATTAGTCAAATAAATTCTTCTATGGTTATCACAAGACGAATTCCTTTCTCATAGACAGGGGTGACCAGTTAAGCATACCAGACTGACAGCAATGGTTATGATTCCCATACAACTACCTAGTTCCTCTATTACTCTTATCAGCAATTTTATACCTCCATCCTTAAAAACATCAGGTGACAAACTGTCTGGTCCTGCTGATTTACATCGTTTCAGATTCGAAATAGCATTCTAAGTCTCAATGGAAGTCGGGGGACTGACACCCACGTCCCATTCAGCTTCGGACTGACTAATGACTGGGCAACTGAAGCGTTGCTGAGGGCCAGTTGAACTGCACTCCAAAATGTTCTGCCCAACGTTCTAGCCGCCTGTCCTGAGAGGTTAGTAGCGTCCCAACCCTTCGGTGATGGCTTCACTAACCATCGTCTTCATCATGCCAGTATCCTTAATACGCCTAAATAGTTGCTGAGTGTTACCCACCGATGATGTCTTCTCCACCTCTCTTGCTCTCTCCACCCACCACTGCTCGCGATCGACTCGAAGACTCTTGGTCAACTTTCATTTGAGTTGCCTTCGTTCTTCATTGTGGTCAGAGCCAACTGTAGTCAGTCTTCTCGAATCAATCACTTCGGATGACGTCGCGGAAATCCAATCACGTTTGCTAACTAACCTTCAGGTGCAGGTCACCAACTGTCGTTACCGCTGTTTCTACAGCAGACTAAATATCACACCAGGTTTCTTCAGGATGAGCATTGCAGTCACGTTCAGATGAATGCTTAGCTAACTCACCTGTAAATGTGTACTTGGCGTTCTCATCCACCAAACCCGAACTACTACTTAATGAGAGTGCAAACTGGTACTCCAGAAAGAGCGGCAATCCTCCACCGATCCTATCGAACGATGACCTGTAACAATATGATCTGTCTGTGTCCATCGTTGGTTTGACGTTGGTGGACGCCAAATGACAGTGTCTCACTTCATGCCTAAGGTTATTGCTGGCCACAAACAAGTGACTGTCAAAACAAAATTGCAACAGACAATCACCATCGTCGGTTCGTTGGCATGGGATTCCGGAGATACCTCCCAGATGCCTTTTCGATTAGTTCAACTTCCTTACTCGAGCGTTGAAGTCACCTGGCATTATGACTCCGTCTAAGCGCTTTACTTTCCATAGTAAGAGTGACAGCTTCTCGTAGAATTCATCATTCGCATCATCCGAACTTCAGTTGGTTGGTGCATAAGCGGAGATTAAGAATAGGGATCAGTTGATCTCAAAGCACTACCTAGTCCTTATAGATCCATTCAGTTGAACAGCATATACATATGGCTGTTGACTGGTATGCAGTCGAGAAGTGCACTTTCTGCTCTACAACTCAATGCTATGCCAACACCAGTGAGTCCACAAGAGCTGGCAATTGGGTCATCGGATAATCTCGAGGTGAATTTCGAAGATTCCACACCTTGGACAGGTGAACTAAATTTAATAACCACAGTCGGATCCTGTACACCAGTCTCAGATTCACAGCGTACACCCTTGACTAGAGATTCCAGAGTTCTTGGTAGTGATGCTTGCTGTTGGATTTTGCATAGAGTTTGGTGGTTGAAAGCTGCAACATGAAATCGATGGTGGGTGTGAGGGTCTTAGGAGACTAGGAATGAGGTTTCGATAATTTTGATCGTTGACAATGATTGCAGATTGAGGGGTTGGGATAAGTGTAAGAGGCATAAAATTAGTATCAGGGGGTGACGGCTGAGGAGGATATGTTATGTG